CGGCGCGCCATGCGGCCCTGGCCGTGGCGCCTCGTCGCCCCGTCTCCCTCGCACCCCCACGGCGCGCCCCGCGAACGAGAGAGCTGCTGGAACCGCCGTTCGGAACCGGCCGGCCCCGGCCCGCCTTCAATGTGCGCACAAACTCTTCCTGAATCACGCTGATGCCACGGCCCGGCTCGGCGCGGCACGCCCCGAAATGCCCACGCGTTATTGGCGGGAATTTTAATCTCGCGCATCAATGGCCGGCCGGCCGGCAGAGTGGCGGCACTTGCCCTGATTCATCCGGCCGGCCAGTGGCGGAGCCAGAACCGCGGAGCTGGAGGGACGCTCTTTTCCCGAAACCTTCGCAAGATTCTGGGAGTGCAAGGTGCAGTTGGCGGCCTGGTGCTCTGTTAGCGACTTGCAGCCTCTTCTCGCCCCGCGCACAAATTCAATTTGACCAGGTCCCGCTGCAGGCACTCCATAAATGTGGCAAATTAAGTGATACGCTGTTAATTAATTTGGCCGTCGCGGCTGCAATTGTTTCTCTGTTCTTTTTACTCGTACTCGTTTTGCTCCGCGCTTCCCTGGAGCCTCATATCGGCCGGCCGCTGTGCCGCCAGCCCCTCCCTTATTCGAGCGTCGCCCCGCAAGGCCTGCCGCGGCCCAATTTTTCACGACACCAGAAATTCGGCATTGCAAATGACGAAAGTTTGCCCCCCGCCCTCATCCCCCTTTCCCATTTCCTCACACTCTGGGCGCTTCAGAAACAAAAGAAGAAGAAAAAAACGACTCGACATGAAGCGGCCTTTTAACTTTGTCGGGAACATGATGCCCTCGCACTGTTTCCGCCGGCTCTGACAACCTAATCAGCTAATGTCTTTTCTTTCTTTATTTTCCCTCTTTTTTGACTCCTTCCTCGCTGGAGCTGTCTGCCGCATCTTCTTTGGACGTCCTTCGCGCTTCTCGAGAAATAGTTGGGACCGGCAACAAGGCAACCGCCACCGTCATCTCTCCCTCCAGTGGTGCAGCTGGCATGCCAATGCGATCTTGTTCCTCCACCACACCCGAAAAGTGTCATCCTGTCCCGAGAGATACTGTTGCCGAGATCCCGAAAATTACAGTCGTAGTAAAACTAAATTATCGATTCCTTGCCGAACCTGGCAGGCATCCATTAAGTGCAGTTCACACAGGAAAGTCGAGACGTATTCTGGTTTTCATCCCTTTCCCTCTTTGTCGACTTTGTTTCTTTTGTCGATTCGAGGCAGTTCACATACACAGTGAAAACTTCGTCGTTTTCTTGGCGTTGGAGCTAAGCTCGGAAAATGAAGGTGCGTTTAGCGTCGAGCTTGAAAGGAGAAGTGGCAAAAAGATGAGACCAGGCAAAGAACCCGTGGAGCGCCAGCGCTGCACAGGGAGGAGGTGCAGGGGGAAAAGAATGAATCAACGGAGCGCAGCAGGCCGAGGAGGCGGCCTCACAACCAGGAGCACATCACAGCGGCAGAAAAGGAGGTGGCCTCAGAAATGTTTGAAAAACTCCCGGAGAGGGCGCGCGTCGTCTCTGCACGGCCTTTCCAGCCGCTAATTGGAATGCTTTCTGATGCGGCGGTGTCGCAGTGTCGCCGCGGCGCTCCGAATCCAGGGGGCTGGAGCCGCCACGGCCACACCTCCATTCAATTTGGATGCTTGCAAAAGTGTTCCTCCTTGTTCCCCACTTTGCGTTGGTAGTAGTTGGCGGCCATTGCCGCGGCTCCCCGGCCGACGCGCCTCCAGAGTAAACTTTTATTCGTTCGGCCGGGCCGGGCCTTTGCTGCCCTCGCCTCGCAGTGACGTGGAGGCTGTTGTTCCAACGACCTGTGGGTCTTCTCCCGTTACTTTGATTTCATTCGCCAGGCCTACCTGCCGGCCCTGCCTTGCTCGGCCCGCCCGCCTACTCCATCCTTTTTCCTCTCGTTCTTTTAGTTCTTTCTTTGAGTTTTTTTTATTTGTTTTCGCGGCGTGTTATTGAGGTCCAGTTTATTTTCTCTAAGGCCTTGCTGAAACGGTGCACGGAAAATCGCATTTTTGAATGCGAGGGATATCATAATTGTCTTTGCAACACAAACCTAAAGTGACGAGTTGGAAATGGGTGCGTCGTCATTTTTCCTTTCCCCTCCGTCCCGCTCGCTCGGGGGTTTTTACTGGGGAGTAATTTGATTTGCATCGGTCTAAAGTTCTCACTGAGGCGAGATTTCGAGGCTTTGGCGACCAAACAAACGCCAGCCGATCACGGCGTGATGTTGAATTATTTTATTTTCCTATAGGGTGGGGGGGGGGAGGGCGGAATGGTAAATAAACTGGAGGAAGGGGGAACCTGGCACCATTATCCCGGCATTTGCATATTACAACGCCATATCTTTTTTCACGTATATTCTTTAAAAAGAAAAAAAAATCACTTTGGCCTGAAGCCCGACGACTCCATACTTTCCCGTCTCAAAAATAAAACCGGGCTTTCCTTTCCTTCCTCATTTTTGCTTTGTTTTTTGTTTTTGTTGCTGGTGCTTCCCTCGCCGTGCTTTGGCCAGCCCGACAACGCCTTGTCCTATAAACACCCATAGAATATAAATAGTAAGCGATCCCGGTTTTTTCCTCATTTTCTGACTCATTTCCTTCGTTCGCTGTGCTGACCCGTTCCACTAAGCGCAGCCCCTTCCCCTTCCCCTCCCCCGCACTGCATTCCGCGCCTAGCTCCGCCCTGCATTCCTCCTTCCCGGTTTCGCATGTCGCGTTCATTACCAGGGATTCAATCAGCGCCATTTCACGGGATATTGGAGGGCGGGCGGGCGGACAGACAGACAGACAGACGCACGGACGGGTTGTGGAGAAGGCTTAGGCGGTGAGCCATTCAGCGATACAGACAAGAAGGATGGAAGCTGGGTTGCGCGGGGCCTCGGTCCGCGGAGCCTCCCGAGACGCCATTATCCTATTCCAAGCTTAGGGAAAAAAAAATAAAGGAAATCAAGGACAATAAAAATATCAGCGAGCCCCCTTGGAGATCAGAACACTGCAAATCCTCAGACAATGCGGCAGACATGTGCGTTCGGGGCGCTTTGCAGCGGAGATGTTTCTTTCGGTGGGTATGTTTCTTTCTGCCCTGCCCCTCGGGAGGGTGAACACCGTACTGCGGATCGCTGGGGCCGCGGTGGGGCCACGGTGGGGCAGGTGGACCGTGCCGTGCCGGCCGTCCGTTGCACGGCACTGTGTCTGGACGCGATGTGCCTTGAAATCGGACTCCATTATCTCGGATCGAACTGCTGGTCCACGGAGACAGTGGGGCTGCCGAGGAGCCCTGCGCTGCAATGGCCCACCCGGGTCAGTCTGGCCGCCCACCCTGCGCCCACCCTGCGCCCACCCCGCCAGCCAGCAGGGCTCAAAGCCGCCTGCACTCAAATCACCGGTGTGTACTCTAATCCTGCCTTGGCCTCCTCAGATCGGTCCGCCGTCCTCTTTTTTGGGCAGACCGCACGGGTCTGCGTAAACAGACTACAGCCTCCAGTGCAAAATGAACGTTGAGGCACCCGTAGGGCTGCAGAGCCGTTTCGAACAGGGTAGCGCCATCCTGCTCGCACTCACGCGGCGCGCCGTGGCGGTGCGAGAGAGACGGCGCATTGTTCGAGACAGCTGCGCTGCCTGCGCTGTGGTCCGGCGGCGCCCAAATTGTCATTAGGCCACGCCAGGCCGGCCGGCCGGCTAACTCGGTTTTAAAGACGCCGTTCAAACGTCGCGCCAACCACTCGCAAATGGCGGCGGAGCTGTTGTTCCATCCCCCGGACCAGGTGCCGTCTCTCACTCCCCCTTGGGGCGCCCCGCGAGTGCGAGAGAGACAGCGCGACTCGAGTTATCCGCCTCGAGCATTCCCACACCTACACCGCCAAATTGGGCGTGCCATCCATCACGGTCGCGATGCGCGGGATGACAATGTCGCTGTCTCTCTCGCACTCGCGGGGCGGCCCGCAGGGGTGCGAGAGAGACAGAGCGACGGGAATGCAGAGTCGGGGCTGAGGGCCGCAGGGAGGAGCCAATCTATCTTGCTTGATGAGCGAGCACTTTTCAGGCGGCCGTCATGCGTTAACCGTTCCATGAACCGCCCGCTTGGCCTTCTGATTGATTATGAAGGACGCCCCGGCGGGGTTAGCAGTGCAGTGCACGATCAGGCGACCTCCACTTTAAAAGCGACGCCACTTCCACGTCTAGCAGACCGATTTCGAGAGTCGAGTCCGTCGCTTTTTCCTCGTTCTTGCGCTCACGGAGCCCTCCGGGTAGGTGCGAGAGAGACAGCGACGAGCACCACCTTTTGTACCAGTCTGCATGTTTACCTCGTGACGGGGTTACTTCCGTAACCTTAACGACCCTGGCGCGCGGCCAGTACACTTTTCCAGGCTCGACGCGATTTTGTTTGCTGTTGTTGCATTCCGAACATTTTATTGGCTAACGAACCACGAGCGTCCGTGATGCACCACTGCTGTGTGCCCCCTCCTCCCCAAGTGTGCCGAGCCCGCCGGGCCGCCAGCTACATGATATATCGTTGCGGTAAAAGTAGTAGAAACTAATGGTATGTGCCCTCCGTGTATGCGAGCTCTGTGCTGAGAGAGCGTGCGCGCCGCACACACACACACACACACACACACACCACACACACACACACACACACACACACACACAGCCATGCGTCGGTGTGCGTGCCAGTGCGTGTGTGTTCCCACACGATCCCTCGACCTGTCCGGTCGCCAAAGTAAGTACGTGGCGAAGAGGGCGAGGTCATTGAATCCCCCGAATCTCGGTATACGGACACTCACGCACACAGACAGTGGAAGTTTATGTAAGTGCACACACACGCGCACAAAAGAGCGAGGCAATAATACCCTTCAAGATTAAGCTTTCAGGAGCCAGTGCCAGGACGCTGGTGTGTACGCGCGCTTCGCTCTCATACCTTTTTGCATGACCTGGTTTCGCTCTGACCGTGTTTTGTGTCCGTGTTGCAGTGCCGCCCCGCCAGATGACGATCCTGGACGAGCTGGGCGACGAGCGCACCTCGGTGGTGGGGCCGTACCGCGAGGGCCAGCGTCTGCACCTGCAGTGTCACGTGTACGGAGGTAAGTGCAGGGCCCACACTGCGAGCGGGCCCAGACGGAGTGGATCCCTTGCTTGGGATTCTCGGGCCGCAGCACACACACACACACACACACACACAGAGGCGCGGTCAGCCCCGGCTGGCCTGCTGCAGGCCTGCAGGCAGGTCGGGTGCCCGATAATAGTCCGACCCGCTTTCCGGTCAACCTCCGGGCACCTTCGCTGCGTGCACCTTCGGCCTCCGGGTGCTTTTCCGCCCCGGGTCAACTGCCTCCGGTGCCTCCGGAGCCTCCGGTCACAGCTGCGCTTCCCCTAATAATAATAAAAGAGGAAGTAGTCCCTTCGGGTCCCTTCCTGCTCCCTTCGCCTTCGCACACAAACACACGCGGACGGCGACTCACACACACACACACACACGGGGCCTCTACGTGGGATGTTCACACGATGTGAGATTGCGGTCCGAGCCGGGTCCGAGCGGCGCGCGTGGGCCGCGGGCCCGGCAAGTAGACTCTGCGCGCGATTCAATTTCAAAAAGGAATTGAAACCGGCTCGGCCGAGGCGACCCGCCGCATGTTTTCGTTACGCGGGACGTGTTTTTGTGTGGCATTGTGTGTGTGTGTGTGTGTGTATGTGTGTGTGTGTGTGTTTGCGTGCGTGTCGTGCGTTGCGGGGGGAGGAGCGGGGTTCGCGGTGTACATGGAAGGTGGAAAATCTGGTTCCCGTCGGCTCACGCACGAGGATGTTTGTGGAGCTGTGGTTTGGGCGGGCCGAGGGCGGGCGGTCTGCGGAAGAGGCAAAGGGGGGAGGGGGGTGGGCACTTGCGCCAAAGTACCCCACAGGGGCCACACAGGGGCCACACAGGGGCCTGGCATCGCTTTTTGGCCGGCCTCCGCGATAAACAGGGTCACCTCCAGTCGCAACTAGGCTGTAACTCGCCGCCGCGTTGCTGCCGATGCACTGCTGCAGCTGGCAGGGCGTTGTCCTGGTCCACCGCAGCAACAGCGCGGCTGGGTCCCTGCTGCGCGCACGCTGCACCCGCTATGCAGGCACTCTGGCAGTGCGCGAATTTCGCGGGATAGTTTTCAGGGCTTTTACGGCCCCGCTGTGAGGCGGGTCTGCCTGGATAGGTCTGTAAAGGTGCTTATGCAAGGCGCAGCAGGGCGAGGAAGCCGTCCTCAGACATTCACAGCCGCAGGCGTTTTACGGGAGTCCTTTTGCGGCCAAAGAGGTGAATGAACTCCCACTCCGCGTTCTGCTAATCAAACAATCGGTTTCGGCTTTGGACCGTTTTGGACCAGTCCTTGGCAACTCCAAGACCGCACTGTGCCTGCCCCTGGGGACTGTTTTACAGTGCAGGGCGGGCGGTGCAGGCCTCGCGATGCACCTGCGCTGGCTGCTTGGGTGCGCCTCGAGACCGCAGGGGCCGCAGGGGCTAGCGTCCCGGCGGGGACTGCGGAAGGCCCCACACTGTTACCCAGGCGGCTTAACTGGCCCCAAACTACCCCCACCGAACTACCCCGGGGACGCTGGCAGACGCTGGCCGGACCCGCGCAAAACACGCCGAAAAATAATTCGCTGAGCCGCCGGTGCCCCGGGCTCAAAGTTTGCCCGGCTGGAGATTAGCAAACGGGTGCGCGGCAGCTATATGCATGCGGATGGAAATGCCCTCGACGCTAAGCTGGGCCGGAATGATTTCGTAGTGTCGCCGCCAGGTGCGTTCGAACCCCGGCACAAAAATAGAGCCGGCGACATGAAAATAATGGCCTCGCTACGTAATGCAACGAAAATAAATAAAAACAAGGAGCGTAGATCACCGTAATATCTGGGAACACTGTGGAAAACGCGCGCGAACACACATGCACACACACGCGCGCACGCACGCGCGCACACCGACACACACGAACGCGTACACACACGACTGCACAGCGATAGCTGTACTGGCAGCGTGGCTCTCCGCGAATGACGTGACGAATGGGCTAGGCAAGCAGGCATGCAGGTAGTAGCACTGGCCTGACTGTGTGTGTGCGGCGCGCGCGGGCATGCACGGGGCCGCGGCACCGCTGTGGGACAACCTGCGAAGATTTATCTGTTTCGGAAGATACAGCGCAGCCAAACCCGCGTGCGTGCGGGGCTCGCGCGCGCGCGTGCGGCTGTGAGCGTGTGAAACGTGTGTGTGTGTGTGTGTGTGTGTGTGGGTGTGTGTGTGTGTGCGTCCGTGTGTGTGCCAACGAGAGACAGACTTAGCGCCGCCATTGTGGGAGTAAGGTCTTGCTACCAACAACAACGAGCCCCTGTTGAAGAACAACAAGAACTCGCAGCGACGTCGTGATTAAGGTTTTCCTTCCCAGCATCGTCCGAGCGGCGATCATCAGCGGAATAAACATTGGCCCGGATCTGGCGCAAAGACAGATACATAGACGAAAGACAACGGCGGAGACAACAAAGACGAAGGGACAGATAGACACAAATACACGAACAGACAGGCGGACTGATAGACGGAGCAGACATATATAGGTTGAAAAGAACAGTCCGAAGCTGGAGAGGGTTTACTGTCGGACTGTTGGGTGCAGCCACTGGGCGGTGACTAGGTCAGGCCTCGGGGCTGGGCTGGCTGGGGTGGGGTGGGGGCGAGCCGTTCGTGGCCGGGGCCTGGGGATCCATCCGGTCGGGCAATCCCGTCCACGACGGCGAGGGCGAGCAGCGCGCTGCGTCCGAACGCCACTTTCTCTGTCTCTCTCGCGCTCGTGGGGCGTCCCGTCTGGCTAGAGAGAGACAGAGCGACGGAGCGCTGTTCGGAGGCAGCCTGCAGGGAGCCGGGCTTCGACGATCAACTCTCGACCCGGCACACCGTGGCCGCCCCGTCACAGTCTTTGGGGTCGCTCTAGTCCCACTGCCTGCAGCTACTCCCTATTGACTGATCTACCCAGTCCCCCAACTGTGTGTGTGTCTAAGGGCGCATAAATGTGTGTGTTTGCCCGCGCCCCTCTCCCGATGTGTGTGTATGTGTGTGTGGTGTGAGCACGTTGCATGTGCATGGCGTGGCAGCGTGGGTGGGTGTCGGACCGTGAACTTGTTGCTTTGCACACTTAGTCACCTTTCGTGTCCAATTTGTATTAAGTGGGGGACGACGGGAGAAAAAAAATGAAACGGGGAGGTGATTGGTCTCATTCAATTCGACTGCAAGTATACGACCATCATTCTTTATGGCCACTCGAAATTGAAATGAATCAGTTTACGGACCGAATGGCGGTCCGCTCTGCTCTTGATGGGTCTCCGTTGCTAACAGCATACATAACCAAACAATTGGAGCGGCTCATGTCAAGGATCAGACTCGTGGAGGTCTAGATGGTTTCCTTGTTCGACAGCCAATCTTTTCGGCACTACCTTGAGCTTAAATCAAGCCCTGCTTTGAGACTGCAAGAGCTCGAACACGTGTCCACTGCTACGTACCAGTGCCCAAACAGGATCTGCCGGTCCGAATGTGCAGCGCGGGGAAGCCCCGGCAGCTCCGCCATCTCAAAAGGAACAAAACTATACATGGATCCGCATTCTGTTTCCCACAAAGCGTTCAAGGCGATAACGAGGCTGGCCTCGCCGCGCTCGGCACGCCGCCACTCGCTGCCGTGCTCCCACCGCCTCGACACTGGAAACTCCGCCTGCCGGTCCCCTTATCAAGGTTTTATGGGGGCTGTTGCGTTTCATTGCAGCTGCCGAAGCTCTTGCCGTTTCCTACCCCTCCCTCCATCATCACCACCACTTCTTTGCATAACCTCCACCCGCCCCGGCAAAACACTCGGTCTGATAAGTCGAACGAATGACACCTCGCGGCCTTCCGTCGCGTCTCTTCTTTTTGCCTTCGGTTCTCGCGGGGGCACTTCGGGACCGCCACCGCCATAAAGCAAGCCTCCCTGCGACCGTAAACGCGTTTGGAAGCGCGGAGCGGTGCGGTGCGGCGCGGCGCGAACAGGAGGAGGTATCTTACTGTCCCTTTTACCGCTTGCCGCCCGGCGGTGTAAAAAAAAAGAGAAAGCCGCTGACACCCGGAAGTGGCCGCCGCTCCCGGCGATATTAATACGCGCTACAGCTGCTCCTACGAAGCTTATAAACTACGCTGGACCGACGGCCTTGAATTTGTGCTGTCCCAAATGGAACCATCGTGGAAAGCCCGGGCTCTCGACAACGAAACTGAATCAGCTTGCTAATAACTGTTTTATCAGAGATCCAGCAACGGTCTTTGCCTCCTCCTCTCGCGAGATGCGATTTTCAGCCCTTCTTTCTGTCTTGATACACACGTCCCGTGCGGCAAACACTTTTTTCACACGGTGGGACACGGTTTCCCGCCGTTTCGTGATGTTGTTGTTGACTGGGCGTACATTACACCGTGAGTGTGGCCCCTAATGGTAAAACGATGACCTGCCCAGCTGTGGCGCCCCACCCCACCCCGCCCCGCCCTGGCCGAACTGCTGCTTTGAAAGTACGCGGGGATCGCAATGTAGATATATAGACCGGCATACCACACACCCCTTTCCAGTGTGCCGTCGCGGCCCGACCAGCGCTCCGCACCAGTTCCTTATTTTTATTTATGGGACTGCGAAGGGATACCGCGTAATTTTTCAGCCACCGCCGATGTAAGGACATGGACAGTGCTGCACTACCTTTGTCTCCATGTTTGCCAACCCCCTCGCCGCTGCTACGCCCTGCTCGTGTGTCCATAGGGCCACGGAGGGACCGTTTTCGGAACAGGGACGTGCTTGCCGAGGCTACGCCGCTGAAACCCGCTAGATTCTTATTTCCGAAACACATTTTCGACGTTTTACCTCACCTCGACCTGAAGAAAATTAAATCAAAAAGTATTATTGCCAAGTTTAACGGACCGCGCTGGACACGGCGTTCGGGGCTGTCCGTGTGGGTTGCCTGCCTGTCCCGCCTGCCCAGCAGACGGCTGCAAACCGCACCCACATTCTTCCACGCCACGCTGTGTTCGCCTCCAGTGCAGCGCCTTTCCCCTTTTCCTCTGTGCCTT